TATCTATCTATCTATCTATCTATCTATCTATCTATCTATCTATCTATCTATCTTAAAATGCAAAAAGATGACTTCTAAGTAAAGAAGGAAGGGAACAAATGTTTGCTGGGCCACTACCATGCACCCTGCTGTGGGAGTGTCACCAGCTACCGTGTCACCTCACACTCCCGCCTGACGGGGGCACGCACCCTTGCGCAGCAGGCAGAAATGGAGGCTCAGAGAGGAAGAGACTGGCCTGGCAAGGTGGGTGGGGAGACAGGCCTGGATCCTATGAATTCTACAGACAATGCCCTAAGAAAAGAAACCCCAAGATCTAGGACTCCAAGTGAAGAACAAGACAGGGACATCCCCACAGTCCCTACACCTCTAAAACCAGACCAACATATGGGATCCTAGAATGACTCCCCAATTCTTCAAACACTAAAAGAACTATATAGGGCAGTATTAAAGGGTTTTACTTTTTTTGTTTCTTTTCAGAAGAGGTAACACATGCACGTGATGAGAAAAATCATGCAGCTGCATAAAAAGGTATAGTGTGTCAAGTCCCTTTCTCGCTCCTGATCTGCAGCCCCCTGCCCTAAGGTATCAGTGTTACGGTCTTGCGTCCTTCGACAGCACTGAAACATATATGCACAATTCCTTTCTTTCTCTAAGCCAACTGCAGCATAAGCTATATACATCCTTTTCAACCATGCTTTGCTCACTCAGCAGCCTATGTCTGAAATACATGCCACATCAGTTTACAGGAGTGGCCATGTTTGCTTGCTTGCTTTTGTGGCATAGAAACTCATTTCAAATGTCTTCTCCAGCTGTTGGAAAAATCCACTGCACTCCTGCAGCCACCAATCCCAACTTCCCGGCTCATATCCTTCCCTTTCTCACCTGCAGACTGCAGCTATGATAACTGATCAAGAATCCCACTACCAGGCAGAACACCCTTCACCTGGAATCTTCCTAAACAGTATCACATAGGACCCATGTTTCAGAGTCATTTTCATCCCTCTCACACCTCTCTCAAGCCCCAGCAACCCATCGCATGCTGTCATGGACAGGCACAAAGTAGGGAGGCGTTTCTGAAGGTCAATGCTGACTTAGACCAATCCAGGCCTTCTAACTGCCTTCCTTGCCCTAAGCCTGCAAAAGGGCCCCAACACTCTAACTCTGTCCAGATTGGGGGTGGGGGGGGTGGGGGACAGGGATGGAAGGCTTCCTTCTGAAATCTGTGTGCTCTGTTCAAGGTCTGGATGAAGCCTGGTCAACCCAGCAGGTGGACACGATAAATGCCAAGTCTACTCAGCTGAAACCCAAGTGTCCAACAGCCCTGATCATATACCCTCTGTGACTGCTCCCCCTACCATCGTCCCATACTAGGTGGACAATGTCTCAGTACCACTATGGTCACAGGGTCTAGCCTGGCTCAGAGAAGGTACAGAAAAAAATACTTGTTGAATGAATGAATGAATGAATGAATGAATGAAAAACACGAGGTATGAAGGCAGGTATGAAGTATTTCAACCAGAAAGGCCGTTGTGATACTGAAGGCTTGATGAGGGTTTTCAATCCATGTTTGGGCAAGAAGCTAAGGCTCTCTGACACCACACTTCTTTTGAAACTGACTCAGGCAGTGGACCATAGGAATGTGACCCCTAGAGAATGTGTGTGACTGGGAAACCTGGTGCAGCCAGCAAAGGGGGGCACTGGGCCCAAGACCCGAGACCCAAGACTCTGGGAAGTCAAGGAATTTGTTCAAGGCCAAATGGCCACTTCAGTGAAGGAGGCAAAATTCAAACCCTGATCCGTGAGTGTCCAGGGCCCTTCCCTGTTCCTGCAGTTATTAATAGCGCTTATCAAGATGTCATGAAATGGTGTGGCTTCGTGTCTGCTGCCCTGGTAGGCCACGTGCTCCTTAAGGACAAAGACGGGAGCCCATTCATCAACATGATCCCGGTACTTGGTACGGGACCTGGCCCCGGGACCTAGTTAATAAATATTTGTTCACTACATGGTAGCTAAGGGCTGGTTTCCCATGCCTCACGCCTTTTTCCTCTCGTGTAAAGGAATTTGCCGTCTTGCACACTGTGGCCGGGACCGCAAATCAGACCACGTCCCTAGAGGGCCATCTGGCAGTACCTTCTAAATTTTACAACACACATGCCCTTTGACCCAGTAATTCCTCTTCTAGGAAAAGTTACCTTACAGAAATAACCATACAAGGATATAAAAATATATGGACAAGGATGTCTGCAACAGCCATAAATCGGAATCGAGACTGTCCACTCCCAGGAGACTGGTTACGTAAACTGTGGGTCGCGCAGATGATGGCGACCGTGGGTTGCCAGACGCGGCTGCAGGGAAGAATGCAGCGGGCCGTGTACGTGCTGGTAGGAAAGGCGTCCAGCCTACGGCGGTTGAAAAAAGGGCCGGGAAGAGAGGTCCACACAGTAGGTTCCCGTCTCTGCTTAAAACAACGATATAGGTATATCAAAGCCTGAATGTGCTTTTTAAAAATTCTAGGAGGACCCAGACCTGATTGTTACACATCCATTAACAAGGGTGAGACTGCAGAGACTGTGAGGCAGAGGTCTGGACTATCGGTTGGTGGCAGGAAGGGGACAGGACACCTTACTTGAATTTTTGTGATCAGGCTCAGAAACAAGTCGAACCCCCTCTCCTCTCATGGGCCTTGGGTATCCTCTCCGTGGGGACTCAGGCATAAAGCATCAGAGCGTCTGCTGGCATGGACCCTCACAGGCTGGGGGCTCCTGGAGGTCAGGGACCAGAGGAGTGTAGTCCAGGCACTGAGAGCTTAGCACATACCCTACACTTGACGGGTCTGAACTCGTTTATTCCCCATATCAGGAAACTGAGGATCAGAGAGGTGAAGTGAGAAGTGACTTCCCCAAGGTCTCGCAGCTAATAGATGGGAGAATGAACCCAGCTCTGCCACATGGGAAGCCTGCAGGACATGCATCCTGTGTCCTGGCTGCTGCATTCCCTTCTCCAGGGATGT